AGGAGGGGGCTCCTGGGTAAATGTCCCTAATCCAAGAATGCAGTTGGGCAGTGCATTTCTCTTAGCTATTAATCTAATGTGGCAGCTTTAAAGGAACACTTTAAACATCTTCAACTGGAGTGTGTCCTCTGTTTTTCATTTTACAAAAAGTACAGATTCCAATAGAAATTAACACTGTTATAAATTTACCTTCTTACACCCCCTGGCTGTCAATCAGACAGCCAGTTCTGTTACTTCCTGGTTCCGTTAGCTCAGTGGAGCTAAACAAAAAAGGAAGTAATTGCCAAGAGCACCTGCCTTGCTAAGGCTTCTCATTTGGAAGTCTGTGATTGGATAGCCCCCTAACGTCTGGGTGGAGATAGAAGGGGAGGGCTTGCAAAGGCAGCCGACAGGAAATCTGCAGTTTTTTTTTCAAACTGTTTTTAGATATAGAAAAATGTGTAATTAAACACATGCAAGTTTTCATTGGGGGTATATCTACTAACTTATTTTTTTAAATTTATTTAGGCAGTGGAGTGTCCATTTAAAGCTTGCACAAAATACAAATATTTCATTTCTGACTGCGGCCTGACCAAGATGCTCACAGTCAAGTAATACTGTCTCAATGTATTATAGGTTGGTGTGATAATGCAAAGGTACAAACGTCCACTTTACCGTAGTATCATACAGAGACAGGCTAGTGTCAAACTGTTATTAAATGGGTTTACAGTTTACTCTCACATGGTGCCGAGGGTGGACTTCTGGCACCATAACCACTACAGCTCACCATAGTGGTAATAGTGTTTACAGTGCCCCCTTAATGTATAAGGAAGTTAGTTGTTGCATGAATTTGTCAGCAATCTTTGGGTACATCAACACACAGCTGTGGATCTGTTTGAAAAAGCCTTAATTCTGGTCTGCTGGTGCACCCTGAAGATTGAGGATTGAAAAGCATTGCTCTAGAGCAGGGTTCTCCAAGCACTGACCCTCCAGATGTTGCTGAACTACAACTCCCATGATTCTTTGAATGAAATAGCTAGCCATAGAATCATGG